CCCATTGCTTTTCCCTGGTCCTGTCTGCATCATTATCAAATTCTGCTTATTAAAACGTGTGTTTGTATACTGATTTTATTGTGGAAGGAACGGAACAAACCTACAGCTTAGCAATATGCTCTTTTGTAGAAATACAGTTGCTGTTACTTTGACTCTTTCCAAATTCAACCGTCCCGCCTTCCTGCATCTATTCTGAAGGTGTGGCATGGTCCATAAGACCAGAAATGTTTGCAACCAAGGAAAAGAAGTTAGTATGTTAGGCGTTACCTTCTTTTATCTTTTATATTCAAAGTACTTCAAAGCCCAGACTTCATGAAACTTGGGCTCTTTTATTTCTCTGTCCTGTAGGAATGTGATTTCTCATCAGTCTTCATTTTGACAAAATGGTTTCATCAGAGAAAGTTGGATAGTGCATGGCATTCATTATAAAATTATTTTACTCACCTTCTGGCAAGTAAGCAGTTTGTTATTGGCATTATTATTCATTTTCATCTAGTACCAGTTTCACAAAGCCTTCTTTTTTTAATGTGTTAAATACTTTTAAAATAGTAATTTTAATATAATTAAATAAAAATTTTGAAGTTGTAATCTTTTTTAAAAACTTACCAGATGTGTTTTATCCTTCATAAGAGAGAGTACCATTGTGCAGTTCAACTGATACCAAAAACATCCTAAAATTACTTTCTGAGAGTTATCAGAAGATAGCACTGTAATAATAAAATCAAGTGTATGTCTTCCCTTCATGATTTATTCTTTATTTGATGTGTTGTTTACCTCACTGGTTAACCTTCCTATCTCACCACTAAACTTACTAATCACTTAATTAGTAAGTGGATCATTTAATTGTCATGCAGCTAGAACAGGCATTGAATTCGTGAATTTTGGGGTTTTGTTAGCTGGACTTTGGCCTGTGGTGGATCTATATGGGCTTTTTGAATCCCCTTTTTGGGATGTCATGAAAACTAAGATGATGGTTTTATTTGATCTCCAGGTTGAACCTGGTAATTTCACAAGACTTCTTCAGCCACAGCCTGCATTGTTGTATATGTCCTTACATCAGTGATAAAGACACAAAAAAGCCTTAATGGAGTATCTATCAACAGTACTAGCCACGTTTCTTAAGGTGGCTAGAGGGACATGTCATTTCTGTTTACCTGAATTTGAAAGCTTAAATATGCCATAGGGCTTGCTTAGGCTAGACCCACATCGTTTACTTAACTGGAGGAGAATATCTGGGGGTAACACTTCCCATCACTCATTCCCCACCAGCAACACACACACACTCATTCATACATTAGAATATAAGGAGCATTGAGGCAGAATTTTTGGTTCACTGTCAGCACTTAGAATAGTGATTGTCACATAGTAGGTGCGTGATCAATTATTATTGAGTAAAGTAACTTCTACTTGTGCCTTGATTTGGTTGATATGACTTGGGCTAATAAATAGGCCCAGTACATGGTAGGCACACAGTAAGAATAGAACAAATGAATGAACTACCCATCTCATCTCTGAGAAGTAGCTGGCTAGATTTCATTACTTTATAGAAGGTATAAAAGGGAAACTTGGAATTCCTAATTTGTTGAAAAAGACTTGACATTGTCTCCCTGTGTATTTGGTATTCCTGTGTCAGTCAGCACTACGTTTATAGGTTTTTCTTAAAAACATAAGTTTTGACCACACCAAATGTTGGTCAGAGCATGGAGCAAGAAGAACTCTTCATTCATTGCTGGTGGGAATGCAAAATGGTACAGCTCCTTTGGAATACAGTTTGGTGGTTTCATATAAAGCTAAATGTACTCTTATCATATGATCCAGTAATAGTTGTTTAGTTGCTAAGTTGTGTCCGACTCTTTTGCAACCCCGTGGACTTTAGCTCACCAGGCTCCTCTGTCCATGAGATTTCCCAAGAAGGAATGCTGGAAGTGGGTTGCCATTTCCTTCTCAAGGGGATCTTCCCAACCCAGGGACCAAACCCTCATTTCCTGCATTGCAGGTGAATTCTTTACCACTGAGCCACCAGGGAAGCCCTACTCCTTGGTATTTACCCAGATGGAGATGAAAACTGAAGTCCACACAGAAACCTACACATGGATGTTTATAGCAGCTTTGTTCGTCTTTGCCAAAATTTGGAAGCAACCTAGATATTCTTCAATAGGAGAATGGATAAACTGTGGTATATCCAGACCATGGAATATTATTCAGCACTGAAAACAAATGAGCTGTCAATCATTAAAAGATATGAAAGAACCTTAAATGCATATTCCTAAGTGAAAGAAGTCAATCTGAGAAGGCTGCATGCCATGTGATTCCAACTATAAAACAACAGAGCCTAACAAGAAGATACCCTACAGACTTGCCTTGGGACCTGCTAAAACGTGGCCATCGTAAGCAAAGAAAATGAGTCAAAAGAAACCCTTTTTAAGGTTTACTAAAGAAAACATGGACATAATCTTTCATTGCCTGTGATTACTTAAGTAGACTCCACTAATAATATTTATTGAAAATTGCTGCTTAAATTTGAGGATAGTTTAGGTAGCCTTGAAAATCAGTAGTTGAACCAATCAGCAGGAATGAAAGCTACATCCAAAAGGTTTTAAAAAGACCTTTCTATGGTAAAACACTGTCAATAATAGCATTTTGTGGCCTTTTTTTTTGTTTCTATTGTTGACATTATTTTTCTCCTGTAGCTCTGCTAAGCCTGAAGAGATTGAATTTTATATGGGGTTCAAACTCTTATTTTTCTTAAGAATTGTATAAATCAGTCATTTTTCATGTACTTATACTGTACTCTGGGCTTCCCTTGTGGCTCAGCTGGTAAAGAATCCACCTGCAATGCCAGAGACCTGGGTTCGATCCCTGGGTTGGAGAGATCCTCTGGAGAAGGGAAAGGCTACCCACTCCAGTATTCTCGCCTTTAGAATTCCATGGGGTCTCAAAGAGTCAGACACAACTGAGCAACTTTCACATACTGGACTCTGGGGTGAAGTCTGGCTGCTTGATCTTTGTAGCTCTTTTATGTGCTGAGTTAAACCTAGGAGTGTATCTTATGAATATTTGTTTGATTGTGAGTTAATCTGAAACAGCTTCTATTTTAGAAGCCTTTTGCAGAAATTTCAAGCTCTTTTTAGTTAATAGTATACATGGGATTGGGACTTCACAGGTGGCACAGTGGTAAAGAATCTGCCTGCCGATACAGGAGACGTGGGTTTGATCCCTGGGTTGGGAAGATCACCTGGAGGAGGGCATGGCAACCCACTCCAATATTCTTGCCTGGGAAACCCTGTGGACAGAGGAGCCTGGCGGGTTATAGACTGTGGGGTCGCAGAGAATTAGACACAACTGAGTGACTGAGCACACATACATGGGATTAAAATGAAAACCCTGCCGTATGTCCAATATTGTAGAGCATTTATCCTCCAATTAAAAGTAAATTTTGAAAAAAAATTCAAAAAGAGAAGATTTCTTGTTCTGTCTTTATCTGTGCCTTTTGTAACATATGCACTGAATTTTTATCATCATAGCCAGGGTTTGAGACTAGAAAGTAGGCTTATAGGGAAAAATCTGTGCCTTATAAGAAGGCAGGGACATGACTGAGTCATAGTCACGTAAGTTCCAAGCCTGGATAGATTGAATGAAGGCTTGGCAAGCTTATCGTTTCTTACTTTTTTCTGATTAATGTGAATTTCACTTTTCAGCTTCAGGATTAATTACGGTTAGCCCTCCATCCCCCTAAAGAGGACAAAGTTGAGGTTACAGTCTAAAGTATGAGTAGAGATTTTAAGTACCTTTTAAATGCTTAGCTATAGGTTATAGTCTACTTCTAGGTTATAATACCTTAAACATAGATTTTATCATGTTCATATTGGAGTTTATTAGTTGTTCTTACTGTAATTTATCTGTCATTTTACTAGATGAAAATTAAAAGCTAAATATAAAATTATTGAAAAAATTCTCCTCAAGACAACTGCCCGTTGGTAAATAACATGGAGAGAATCATGCATGAATGAAATAGCTGAATTTCAATCACACACTCTTTCTTTCTGATAGTCAGTGTATCTTTTAGCAACTTTTTTGGTAAAACATTAATTTTAACCGAAACAAAACTAGAAGGGTAAATACATGATAAAAAAAATAACATTTTTAGGTTTATGCATTACATCATTCTTTTACAGAAGCTGAATTCTTGACCACAGAGTTAGCATCAGAAGTGTAACATATATATTAAAATCTGTGGAGTTTTAATAAATAAAACTTTTCATACAAAGTTTTAATAAATAAAACTTTTCATACAAAGTTTTAATAAATAAAACTTTTCATACAAAGTTTATTTGTATGAAATTATTTTAATTGAACAATGTAAGCACTTGCCCCCACCTCAGGATTTCAAGAGGGTGTGATTTGTCCAATGTATACTTTTTCAAAACAAAATATCTGGATTTCTGGATGTTCTACTAATTTTATATAAGGTATTACAAATTTCCCTTTTTCTCAATAAAACTGATTAGCCAGTTATTTCTCCTCAGCAGTGTGTCTGTTAGTCATAAATAAACACAGCAGTTCTGTTCCTCAGGGAACAATGTCTGGAGATATTCTTAACTGACACAGTTTGGGGGTTATTACTGGTATGAGGTGTGCAGAGGTCAGGGATGGTCCTAAACATTCTGTTGTGTGTGGAGCAGTGCCTAACGGCAGCAACTTACTGACCTCAAATATTAATAATGCTATGATTGAGAAAGCCTGGTATATATAACTTCATCTTAGGGGAATAAAGTATCACCTATAAAGTCAGCGTCCATATTTATATTGCCATGATACCATTTAACCATTGACTCATTATGAAAGAGATTTGAGGTGGCTTGACATGATGTGGAGTTTTGTTATTCAAAGGTTATTCAATTATAGCAAGTTACCAGTTTAATCTTTGCACCTTGTCAGTTACATAAATGTCTTTATTTCTTGTGATTGAGTTCATGTAATTCTTTGTGTTTTTTTTTAAGCACTTAAATATAAATCCAATTACACGAAGGAGAAAGCCATTTTTCTGTTAGTTGCTGGACTACTGCTCACCATCCTCGTCACTGTTGGAGCCTTTCTTTTAATCCCAGGTAAGATACACAGTTACTGTGAGGGAAGCAGGGATTGGTAAGCTTGAGGACGTTTCTGGAGAGGGGCATGTTAGTTTCCTAGGGCTGTGGTTAGCAAACTACCACACACTGGGTATCTTCAGACCATAGAAGTTCTCTCACCGTTCTGAGGTCATAAATCTGAAATGAAGGTGTGACCAGGGCCTTACACCCTCCCGACACTCCAGGGGAGAATCCACTCCATGCTCTCGTAGCTGCTGCTGTTTGCTGGCCGTCTGTGCGTCTCTCTGGCTTGTGGTGGCGAAGCTCCCAGCGTCCTGCGTGGTCACGCGGTTTCCTCCCCTCTGTGTCTCCACTTAACTTCCTGCGCTTCTCTGTTACAAAGCTACCTGTCACTGGACTCAGGGCCCACCTGCGAAATCCAGGAGACAGCCCTTCTCTCAGACCCTTAACTTCATCGTGTATTTTACTGTATAAGTTCATAGTGACAGAGTGGGATATCTGGGAGGTGGACATCCCTTTAGAACAGCCATCAGGCCGCTGCAGAGACCCACTTCATTAGCCCGACTTGGAAGGAGGAATGAATGTGGGGACCCAGATGGGTCTGAGTTTGCAGTTGCCCATGAAGGACGCAGTGTGAGATGGGGGAAGGGTCTGCAGCACGTGAATGAGCAGTAGAGACATGCTGGGACTCACAAGTGCAAACTGGAGGAAGCCTGGTTTTTTGAGCAGAATACAGTATAGGCATAATGTTTAGGAATATCAGTTTGGTAGCTCTGTTTGCATTTGGAGTTAGAAAAGACAGGGGACGGTAGTAAAGACTAGAAAACTCAGCAGTGGCCACAGGACTGGAAAAGGTCAGTTTTCATTCTAGTCCCAAAGAAAGGCAATGCCAAAGAATGCTCAAACTACCACACAATTGCACTCATCTCACACCCTAGTAAAGTAATGCTCAAAATTCCCCAAGCCAGGCTTCAGCAATATGTGAACCGAGAACTTCCAGGTGTTCAAGCTGGTTTTAGAAAAGGCAGAGGAACCAGAGATCATATTGCCAATATCTGCTGGATCATCGAAAAAGCAAGAGAGTTCCAGAAAAACATCTATTTCTGCTTTATTGACTATGCCAAAGCCTTTGACTGTGTGGTTCACAATAAACTGGAAAATTCTGAAAGAGATGGGAATACCAGACCACCTGACCTGTCTCTTGAGAAATCTGTATGCAGGNGTGTTCATTGGAAGGACTGATGCTGAAGCTGAAACTCCAATACTTTGGCCACCTGATTAGAAGAACTGACTCATTGGAAAAGACCCTGATGCTGGGAAAGATTGAGGGCAGGAGGAGAAGGGGACGACAGAGGATGAGATGGTTGGATGACATCGCCGACTCAGTGGACCTGGGTTTGGGTGGACTCCGGGAGTTTGTGATGGACAGGGAGGCCTGGTATGCTACGGTACATGAGGTTGCAAAGAGTCCGACATGACTGAGCAACTGAACTGAACTCTGCCTATAAGTTGAATAATCAGGATGACAATATTTAGCCTTGATGTAATCTTTTCCCAATTTGGAACCAGGCTGTTGTTCCATGTCCAGTTCTAACTGTTGCTCCTTGATCTACATACAGATTTCTCCGGAGCCAGGTCAGATGGTCTGGTGTTCCCATTTCTTGAAGAATTTTCCACAGTTTATTGTGATTCACACAGTCAAAGGCTTTGGTGTAATCACTGAAGGAGAAGTAGATGTTTTTCTGGAACTGTCTTGCTTTTTCAATGATCCAACAGATGTTGGCAATTTGATCTCTGGTTCCTCTGCCTTTTCTAAATCCAGCTTAAACATCTGAAAGTTCATGGTTCACGTACTGTTAAAGCCTGACTTGTAGAATTTTGAGCGCTACTTTGACAGGGGGAGGAAGGAGAGTAATTCAGAAGACAACTTAAAGAACAATTGCTTTGACTTTGGGACAGGTTGAGTATAGCAAGTGAAGGGAATGGTAAGAGATCCGAGTTTCTCATTGGAATAATGAGAAGTAGTTAAGGAGCAGGCAGAACCAACTCAAGATTTGACATCATCAGACTTATGAATCGATATTTACATGTCTTAAATTTGGTCTAGAATAATAAAAACAGTCATTTATTTTGTGTGAAGTTTTGGGGGAAATATTTTTAAACCTTTTGTAGTTTGTAAGGGTAGTATAGAGATTAATACATTTAATACATTAAGTAATGTTTTGTAAGAGTAGGAGGTTTGTAGGAAAATATTAACTATTATGTTTAATTATTAACAGGTGAATATTCAACAAAGAATGCTTCAGGACTTGGTTTAATTGTACTTCCTACAGTAATATTAATATTACTTCATTACTGTGTGTTTATGATAGGTGAGTATTTATTGTGATGGAATGATTTTGCCCACCTTTTTCATTTAAAGAACAGCATTTTTGGTTAAAATATTGTTATATGATTTTTTTAACAACTCAATAGAAGTTGCTTTGTTAAAAGATTCCCCAGGCTATTCTTAGTGATATTTTATCCATATGGAATTATATTAAAGTTGGCTTGGGTTTTCAAGGCATTCAGTTATCTTGTAAAAAATTATTTTTATGTATATTTGATATCAGTATATTTTTAAGGTTATGCTATATAATTTCCTAATGATTATCATTGTATTTTTATTTCCGGTTTTAACTAGTTCTAGAAAATAGAATTATAAATAAGAAAGAGTAGCTTTTTTTTTAGTTATGGCAAATCTTAACATGTAGATATCCAACCTGTAATTGGTGTCATTTTCACTGCATTTTAGGAGTAAATCACTTAACATTTTTGTTAATGTTAGAATCTATTTTTTTCTAGTTACCCATGTGACTCTCAGCCTTAGAGTCTATCTCTGGCCTGCTATACATTGGGAAAGTATTGATTTGTTATAAACTTACAGATCTAGACATAGAAGATAGGTCGCTGGGAAAGAATTTACCATCGGACAGGAACCCCAGAGGTAGTCTTTGGTCACAGGCTATTATTCTTGATTGCACAAAATACAAGTAGGAGTGCTTGCTTTTTAAATACTCTGAACCCACTTTTGTTCCCCCAGCTATGGGGATGTCCTCCATCACCATCAGCATACTGATCCTTCAGATACTGGGCTATGTGCTGTCTGTGGTCGGATTCAGCCTCTGTGTCTCAGGTAAGAGTCCCGGCCGTCTGGTCTCCCTTTGTCTCAGTAGGGCTTTCTCTTGGACGGAGTCCTCTTTCTTTTTCTTCTTTCTTTTATTCTTAGACTTCATTTTTTTAGCGTAGCTTCAGGTTCAGAGCAAACTTGAGTAGAAAGTACTGAGTTCCCACATACCCCCATAGCAACCTCTTCCACGATCAACATCCCCCACCAGAGTGGTAAATGCGTCATAGTCATTGAACCAACACCGGCGTCTTATCACCCCAAATGCATAGTTTACATGAGGGTTCATTCTTAGTCTTGTATATGCTATGGTTTTGACATATGTGTAATGATATGGATCATAGTCATAGATGTTATATCATTCAATTAAGTTTCACTGCCCTAAAAATTACCCTAGCAGCCACCAGTGTTTTTAATGTGTCCATAGTATGTTGTCTTTTCAAATTAGCTTCTTTTACTTAGTAATATTCATTTAAGATTTCTCTGTCTTTTTGTGGTTTGATAGCTCATTTCTTTTCAGCACTGAATAACATTCCATTATATTGCATACTACAGTTTGTTTATCCATTCACTTATTGAAGGACATCTTGGTTGCGTCCAGTTTGGGGCAATTAAAAATAAAGTTGCTCTAAACATCCACACACAGGTCTTTGTGTGGACATAAGTTTCAACTCCGGTGGAGTGCCGTTGTTGGGTTGTATGTTAAGAACATATTTAGTTTTTCAGCAAACTGCCACACTGTCTTCGAAGCTGGCTATACCATTTTGCATTACCACCAGCAATGGATGAAAGCTCCTGTGGCTCCACATCCTTGCCAGCGTTTAATGTCGTGTGCTCCCTGCACACGACTTTCCGCATCTCCATGAGTCTACTGTCTGTGTATGGCTTGTGGGTCGATTCTTTCAGCAGCCAGACTGCTCTGCCTCTATCTGTGAGAGAACTTTTCAAATAACTAGGCTCCATCCAGTGGGTTGGGGCCTTAGGCTTTACACACTATTTCCCATTAGTCTTGATGTGATAAGGTACATATTATACAGACAAAGGATTTTTTCTTTTAATAATTTGAAGTCATTTCATTTACTGACTTAATAGTGATGAACAAATGTAGATAATTTTTGTTTCTTAATAAAAGATTAACTTCTTAAAACTCAATATTATTACTGTCATTGCTAGTTTTTTTAAAAAATCAATTATTTCGTATGAATTTCTAATATAGAACTTCATTTGTTTTTACAGAATGTGTCCCAGTGCATGGTCCTCTTCTGATTTCAGGTTTGGGTATTATAGCTCTAGCAGAATTACTTGGATTAGTTTATATGAAATGTGTTGGTAAGTCAGCCTTATTTTTGTTAGCCTATGCCGGGAATTTCCAATATCTAGTCTGGATAATGCTTCTGGTTGATTCTTACTGTCTAGGACCAAAGAAATGCATGAGTAATTCCTAAAATGAGAAAACACAGCGAATGCTGCTGTATTTTTTAAATAGTTAATTTGAAATCATTTGTGCTATGTCTTGTGCTCAGTCATTCGGTTGTGTCCAACTCTTTGTGACCTTGTGGACCGCAGCCCTCCAGGTTCTTCTATGCATGGGCATTCTCCAGGCAAGAATATTGGAGTGAGTTTTCATTTCCTTTTCCAGGGGCTCTTCCTGACCCAGGGATCGAACCTGTGTCTCCTGCATTGGCAGGCGGGTCCTTTACCACTGGGCCACTGGGGAAGTCCCTGGTTTATATTAGTCTCCCTTTAAGCTTCCTTGGTGGGTCAGAGAGCAAAGCTTCTGCCTGCAAGGTAGAAGACCTGGGTTCGATCCCTGAGTCAGGAAGATTCCCTGGAGAAGGCAGTGGCAACCCACTCCAGTACTCTTGCCTGGAAAATCCCATGGATGGAGAAGCCTGGTGCAGGCTACAGTCCATGGGGTCGCAAAGAGTCAGACATGACTGAGCGACTTCACTTTCACTTTTTGCTTTAAATAAAAGATTTCTGTTTTTTAAGGCAAATCTTAAACATTTGTCAAGAAATCAAAAGTTAGAAATTAATGGAGCAAAAACATCACTTCTTTGCTTTGCTTTAGGTAAACTCTGTATGTTTCTAAAAATTAACATAAATTTGAATTGTTATAGTCAAATAATTTCCCACATGACTTGAATAGTACTTTCAAAGAAATTTTGCCTTTATTTATGAACTTCAACTTTCACTGACTAGTCACTGAATTCATTTCTGTTACATGTTTCCCCCCCTTTAATTAATGCTTATTAAACAGTTAAAATACTTAACTAAAATTTCCCTATCTTTATGTATTCAAAAGTCAGAGTTGTTTCCTTAATGCCATTTTCTTAGTTCAAACCATAAAACACAAGACTTCTACAGCAGAATGGCATCCATTTGGTAGCCATCATGAGCATCACATTATGAATGTTGATACGGATTCTATTTTTGTTGAGTCTTTTAATCACCATTTGTCTGGTTCTTGAAGATGACTCTGCTAATGATGTTACTCCCTATTAATACTTAAGAACAGTATGTGACCTGCAGTGCTCATGCAGCTGACCTAGTATTAGGTGTCTTTGACTGGTGGTCAGCTCTCTGTTCTTTTTTCCCCCTCATTATCTGGATTTCTCTTCCTTTTATTCCATGCTCCTCCTTGCCTTCCCTGTCTGACGACCAGCAGGTCTGGAGATGCTGACTCAATGGAAATACGCATCTTCTAGCTGCCACCCACTTGACATTGCTCTCTCCCCTTTTTCACACCACACCCCTGAGAAGCCTGTGAAACCATTATCATTACAAACATATTATTCTCACATTAAGTTCAAAGTGGAACTGAATTCCTAGGAAGTTCCTCAAACTGTTTTTTCCTTTATGGTAGTTTTGTAAGTATATGTAAGTGAAGAATTAAGTTAGGTTTTATTTACATTTTGAGACTTTTCTAAATTAACTTTTCAAATCAACTTGTCTGATACCACAGTTCAGAGAAATGCCTTTGGTCAGTTGAAGGTCAAGAAGAGAAAAGGTACAGGAAAGTAGCTCTTTAGATAATGTGGTAGACTAGAAAAGTTGATGTGTTTTTCATATATAACTGAATATGTAAATATGAGTTTATATAACACTTAAGGTTGCAAATTTGAGCATTTGTATCAGGAAGTAAAAATTGTAAATGCTTTCAGTGTAACTTTTACTTGTTGTTGATGCTCTATTTTGGAAAAGTCTAAAGAATGTGTCTTGACTTTTAAATCCAAGCTCTTTATGTCCCTGTGAGAGATTTAACTTTCATTATTTTCCAATTTAAATTTGTAGCCTTAAATATTACTTAAAGAGTAGGACTTTAAATTTCATTTTCTATGTTATTTTTTAACTGTGTTGGAGTTTGTACTGAAACATTTGTTTCATAAAATGAAATAAGGGTTGAGAACAATAACAATATGAGAAAATATAGAAGATTAAAAAGAACTAACTAAACTCAGTGAAGTTGGGTGTATTACCTATGTAGGGTTCTTATGTTCATTCTTAATAAGGGTCATTACTTGTTAATTTTCTTAAGCCGTTAATGTTTAGTTCTGTATAAGGGAATATAGTCATGTTTTGATACAAATCAACCTCCTAGCAGTCAGGAACCATATTGACCACATCTCACATATTTTAGAAAGACACAGAATAGATATGTAAAATTCAGTGACATTTTCTTTCCCATCATTGATGAGAGGGGAATCTGGTATCAAAAGATAAAGTTGTTCCTGAAAATCCAAAACCTGGAAATATATTTACTTCTTGTGTCAAGTGTTTTTGATAGAGAAGAAGCATTGCAAATGAGCTTACATGAAATGCTTAAGGCTTGTGATTTATACACACACACACTCACATATATACATACATACATGGCTGTCATGCCTTAGGCCCATAGCAACAGCAGACAAATCACAATCATTCTTTAGTCACATAGGTCATATGCCTATTAGAGAGGATTAACTCAAGCGAAATTCACTTCTGCGTTGTTTGGTCTTATATTAGAGGGATCACAGCTGACTGCTGCCCTTTGAATCAGTGTTCTTTATAGAGCTCTTTGTTTCAGAATGGGCTAGCCAAATGTGATGCTCCTTGGACCTGAGAATTAGAACTCAGAAACTTCTTCCCACGTTTTTAAGACTGTTAAGAGAGTGGCTTGGCAGTTCTTAATACTAATTATAACAATTTATGAGCTCAAAAATATACCTTTAAAATCTTACTTCTGACCCTTTATATTACATGGCTGTTAAGTTCTCTTTTCCTTGATAGAACATAGACGTGGGGCATGGTTTAGTTGAAGTAAGTTGTATATACATTTAACTACCATGATTGTCCCAAATAAAGTTCTATAATTCTGCTTGGTTTATTTCAGAGGTTGCTAATGGTGATTACCCATATTCCCAACACATTTTATTCCATAATACTTTAAAAAGAGATCTCTTCTTGTTTGGTCTCAAGGACCAAACCACTTTCAAATGCCTCCAGTAAAAGAGATTTACTTTAAAACCACACATGGCACTAACAGAGATCGGAATCTCATGAAAACAGATACATAGCTGATCCTCACAGAGAGTGGAACAACTACGCGGTTTAGGAATTGGAAGAATCCAACACATCTCTGAAGTCTATGAGTCATGGCTGGCCCTCTCAGTAGCAAGAGTTAGCAGATGCCCTCTTGCCATTCTCTCTCTTCGGTTCTTTACCTGCTAGCCAGATAGCTCATCCTCTCCTTAACGTTTTGTTTTTGTTTTTTTGAGCCTATTCATGTCTTCTCACTGGTCTATTTTCTTACCTTTGGCTCTAAGCTTTGAGCTTCTCCTTGCTTACGTTCCGTCTCCTTTTCACCTTTCTTGCCCTTCACCAGCTTTCTCATCTTCTTTCTTCTCCTCTCCAGGTTCCAGTGGGAAAGAAACTTTGCAGGCCAGTCAGTTGCCCTTTTCCCTTTTTGGAGCAAGTCTTACCAAGCTTCTGACTTGTCTGTAGGTGGGCTTCCCTTGGCTCAGGCCTCACCCCCATTTCCCGTCAGCTTTGGAAGCTTGGTAGAGGAGGCATAGAGAAGCACAGAAGACCAGAGCCATTCTAGGGGCCTGCCTCAGTCTGCTCATGAGTGAATCCAGTGCCATCATCCGGTCCAGAGATCAGGGGAATGGACCATCCAGTAGCATCGTCTTCCTCCAGAGTGATCCACAGGGTGTTGCCCCTTGATGCTTTTGTGTCTGTAGGACTCTGATTCTGTATTTAAGACCAGTTTTAGCTGCTCCTGGGCCTTCTCACTTGGTATTTATAAGGAACGTTTCTCTTCTTCCCCTTGCAGTGAGAGCCATTCTCTTGTCACTTTCTTCATGCCCTTATTTCTTCATCTTCATTAACCAAGCCACTGAGAGGCGGTGAAGGGTGACCTGAAAAGCTAAGAAGGAATACAGACAGAGAAGGGCTTGACTGTAGCTAAAACTAGCTGGCCTCAAATAAGTCTCTAAACTCAGAGGGCTCTGATATTTTCCTTAGTTTGTGAGCTAGCTGGAGCTTTGAAAACTGGAAAGATGGAAGAAGAAAAAAGGGCTACGGGCTGCAGGAGCAACAGCAGTGAGCTGAGGGTGGGCAGTTCCCCGTCCAGCTGGGTTGCGTAGGGAGGGGTGCAAAGCCTATAGCGGGGGTGAGTAGATGACTGTTTTCCACCACGAAGTGTAACAAGTGACTGATCTCGAGGGACCCGTGGCATGTACAAATGAGAGTGTCTATGTGTTTATTATGTGATTGGGGTGGGTTATTTGCATCGTTTTTTTCCGTCAGTGCATATGATTAAGAGTGTTCTGCCCTTAGTCTATCAAAGCCAAACTCTTTCATTGGAGTTTTTGACACGTTTAGTTTTAGCCCTGAATGTTTTATCTTAAAATTAAACATAATATTGCCTTAATTTCTCTCACTTATTAAATTAATCTTCTTATTTTTTAATGTCATCAGCTTCCAATCATAGGACTATACAACCTCCTAAGGTAAGTTAAAATTTCTTAAATGAATTGGGTGTGATACTTGATGGTTTAGTCTGAGGAATGGTAATTGAGACATTGAACCCCATGGCTCACCCTTCACCATGACATCAAATTAAGGGAACACTGGAGTTATCTCGGGGTTTCTCAGGTGGCGCTGGTGGTAAAGAACCCACCTGCCAATGAAGGAGACATAAGAGACGCAGGTTTGATCCCTGGGTCAGGAAGGTCCCCTGGAAGAGGGCATGAGAAGCCGCTCTTGCATTCTTGCCGGGAGAATCCCATGGACGGAGGAGCCTGCGGGCTGCAGTCCTCAGGGTCGCAAAGAGTCGGACACGACCGAAGCAACTTAGCACACACGTACAAAGTCACTTTGTGACCTTTGCATGGATAGATCCGATCTAGTTTAAAACTTGGTCATTTACTAGCAATGGGTTAGAATAAACGATTCCTTAAGACTGTGCTGTTTTCTCATGCCCAGAACTGGAAAGTTTGTGTGTATGAATAATGGTCATTATCTGCTGGAAGAATCCAGTTCCAACATATTGCCTCACCTGCTGTACACATTTGAAGTGCACATACAGAATGATAGTTCAGGCTTAAAAATGAGGGAGAGAAGTTCGTATTAAATTGATTTCATTAAAACAATAATCTATAGAATAAATGGAAATGTGGCCAAAAAATAGCTGTTCTGAATTGATTCATTTCCCTTTTTCCCCCATTTTATAAGCATTATTCTTCCTCCAAATTGCACTGTAGTTTTTCTTTATCATAAGCTACCTGAGAAATTTCCAAGAAAAGGAGCAATTTAGGAGGTAAACTGAAAGGGATAAATGGTGGGGGATGGAAAAAGCCATTTTTTCATCATGGTGACAGGGACAGGTACTACTTTATGGAAATAAGATCTGGAAAGGACTATATTGTATCCATCTTCCTAAAAAGGATTAAGGATTAGTAATAGCTCTGTCTGAGATGCCAAAAGCGAGACTGTCCTGTCTGTGGCGGGAAGGGGTGACTAAACATGCCCGTAAAGCTGATAAGCCTCCACAGACATTCCGGAGAGGCGAGGGGAGTGGGGGTGCGCCTCACCCCACGTGTTCACTCTGAAAAGATTGGTACCACAGCTACATAGGTCCCAAACAGCTCGAAGTTTTCAAAGTGCCTCTGTTAAAGATAATGTGGCCATTAGACCCTTCAGTCCTAACACTTGTCTTTCCTGTGACCAAGTTCTATTTGCATGACTTGAAAATGATTGCTCTCCTCTCTGGCTTAATTGTATTGTTTATTATGTTGCTATCTGTGTTGGTGTTGCTGTAGTTAGGATTTTTTTTTTTTTTTTTTTTAGTTAGGATTTCTTGCACAGAGAGAGGTAGGGTGGGCTGGGAAGTTCTGCACGAAAAGCATTAAGAGAATGATTGTGTTATTATCAGACTATTAGCTAAACTTGGCAAGCTTTGTCTTCCTAACCTTGATTGCCTTACTTTGTCTTTTGGCTGTAGGATTCACTGTTTATATACAGTTTAAATGTTAGCATATATAAATTATAGTATGAAAGAGCATGAAGTAAATTCTATTTTATGTAAATATATTTTAAATATTTTCCAGAAAGCTGTAGAGGAACCTCTTAATGGTATGTGGTTATTACAAATTTATGTGTTCTTCTTGATCTATTACCAGATCATCATAAATTGAATTAGCCCCCAAAGCAGTTAGAGTGTTCTCTGTGCCTTGAGAAGAATCTAGGTGTTTGCCTTTTTTTTAAATTGCCTAACCGCTCTTTTCTTGATTATCCATCAAGAATTAAGAGTATTGCTTTTGCAGTGCTGTCTCCTCTGAGAGAAAAATGCCCTGTTCTGTGTCTCTCGAGCCACGTGATTTTGGGTGGGGGGACTCTCTTGCCTTTTTAATTGGCCAAGATGAAATGTAACACCCCCAGTAGTGAAGGATCTCAGTTCGTTTCCATTGTTAATCATAAATTTAAGGCAGATATAGGCTGTCATCATGGAATGAGACCGAAGTATCTCGCTTCTCCCCAGACCTAGGTCTCTGTTCCCATGATTTGGTGTCCTTTGTGGAGCCTCTGGGTGTGACCCCCAGGGAGGCTTTTGTAATCAAATGGTAATCTTAAAATTAACTTGGCATGCTATTACTGCATATTTGTTTGTCTAAAAATGATTTCTAATTGTGGAATCTTACTAACTGCTTGGCTTGTTACTAATTCTTAGCATTTAAAGAATCAAAAGGGATGATGAATGATGGTAAGTATAAAATGCACCTGCAATTATAGCTTGGTTAAAAATATGGACATTGAAAAGAAATAAAATTGCTTCTTGAAAGTGTGTTGTTTTTTTTTTTTTAAGGGACACTGTCAAATCATAAAGGCCTACATTTCTCAGTTTATAAAACTTATTTACTCTGTTACAAGTTGCAAAACTAATAATATAAAAGCTATAGGGTATCACTAATCAGACTCTCCAGTCATATTGCTCATAACAAAGAGAGATAACTGCTTTAAAAAATAAACAAACATTTTTCAGATGCAGTGTCTGATGACTGAAATTTTAAATGCTCTTTGTAAGGCACTTAGATAATTTGGCCCAAATCTTTATCATCTTGACAGGGTTTCTTTTGTGCACCTGTTTGGTGATTTTGTTGCATTTAGCCCGTGGAGACTTAATATCTCTGCTTTTCCAAACAAGAATTGGGTTCTAACCTTTTGAGAGAGGATTGAAAAAGAGAGAGATATGTTTAGTTACGCCAGCCTTTTGCAGGGGGACACTGGGCTAATAATTTTTAATTTTCAATGACTGTTTCAAAGACCTATATTTATTAGTTCTTAAAGCTAATTAAGTATGAGATATTGAGTACTGTAAGCATTCGTTTTAATTTTACCTTAGCATATTCTGATATTTGAGTTCTGTTAACATTTGAATAATTATGTTTTCATTTTATCGGAACTTTCTTCATACCTTTGATATTTATAGTCATTCCTTGATCATGTAAATAGTCTGCTTTCAGTTTTACTGTTCTAAAGTCTGTGACCTACGTGCTCACCTCTACAGTAAAATGCAGCTTTTAACTCAAGAGGCTCTATTCCCCTGAGCGCAGTTAATTTTTGCATAAGATTAAAAACATGCTGGTTGTGTTTGGTGAGCTAAGTTTAAAACAGTGCTGGGACTGTGTTCAGAAAGCAGTCACAGAATGATCCCACTTTTGTCAATTTGTGTCACAGCCTTTATTACAAAGAATGCATGCCCTGCTAACCACTGCACTCCTAAAAAAACAGGATTAGAGGGAGAACATTAAATGATATTTAAAAAAGAACTGATACCTGAAAGTGTGGCATGGTTTGTCCGTGTTTGCATTCTTGTGTTCTGTTGTTGGGTTTTGTGGTTTTTTTTTTTTTAAATTTCACTGTTTTTCTCCTTTTCCTACTGTGGTGTCGTTCTTCTATAGTTGTATGAAGAAACTAAACTCTTCCCCATTTTCAGAAAACCAGTAGAAGAGCCTTGAGTGCCTCTTCCTTAATTAATTTCCCTTAAGATATGACTGTTTGGGCACCATTGTATAGACAGCAGATTTTGTATTTTCACAGCACATGAAAACTATAGCAAGCTTTGAATTCCCTTAATTTTGCTCATTTTAACGTTCAGAGTTTGTTGGGTTTTTCCAAATGTCTGTGTGGTGGGCTCTTCCTACTGACAGGTCACAATGCCCGTGGTGTGTCTGCCTTTTTGGTGAGTGAGGTACCAGGTGCCCTCTTGGGACCAAAGTCCCATTTCCTCTTTCACTTAACGCCTGATCACATATTTAATTTTCTTACATTAAATGAATGGTTTCAATCTAAAATGAAAGTGATAGCTTATTATTCTAGGATCAATGTCTTTTGCTTTGGAAAAATCAACATCTCTTGACTTGTTCTCAGCTAACCCAGCAAACAGAGATTATCAGATTTTGTTGATTTACATTTCCATTTGGCATCAGCCTTTTGCTTACTGCAGCTAAAAAGGCTAATGGATTGTCTGGTTTATGTCTGTGACCTTTGCAAATCTAAGATTAAATAATTTTTCTTTATTTTTAGATACCATATATCTGAAACAATTTTCAATTTTTAAAATACATCAACTTGTTAAGGCATAGAAAATAGACATGCATAGCAATTATATATTCATTTTTCAATTTTCCAGAGTAACTGAAGTGGAGTGGTGGACTCTGATTTGGAGAGTAGTATGACATGAAAGAAATACACTTGTGTTTAAGCACCATGGCCTTGATTCATTGTCCTGGAGAAGAAAACAAGAAAAGTAACTGGTTTCCATCTATGGGAGAAAGTAAATAATTGACCTTTAAATGATTGTTACCGTTAAGTTTTTATTCAAAGCATTTTTAAATTTAATTAATAAATGAATTATGATCTGTGTTGTGTGCCCAATTGATATCCAGTTTTTTGTTGTTATTTTTATTCAATTAGGGGCAAAAGTAGAGTGGGCAACTTCCAAGAATGATGCCTTCCAGATCCTGGGGCCTCTTAACTCTAGGTCACCAACTTAAATTGGTTCAAGGTGAGAATTTCCTGGTACAACCCTGGTTACCCAGAGCTATCGATGAAAACAGAGGCTTCCGTCAAACCTTAGCAAACTTTGGCACAGCCACTTTGGCCGTTATGGTGTTAACCATAGTAGTGTCTGCCACTTCTGGGTCAGGGGCATAATATTAAGTACAGACTAGAAATTCATTGAGGAACATCTTGTCGGCTGCCTGTGTGGGGTGTGATATGCTGAGGATCATGGTCTTCATTCTTGGGGGTTGCCACTCACATGTTATCCCCTCAACATGCAGTGTACCAGACCCTTTCCAGACCGAGGGTAATTTTGTTGATGGATGTTTTCTTCCTTTTTTTCACATGACTCTTTACATGCTGTCTTGTCCTCCTGTTGTTTGCTTCTGCCGTACGAGGTGTAGGCTTTTTCTCCTCTTTGAACATGGTCCAGTGACACAGTAGCATCACTTCAGAAAGGAGCCAGACTTATTCTCAAAGAACTATGTTCACACTTTTCAGCAGAAATAGCGATGGTTGTAACATATGTATTCCCTTCCTCGGATTTAAAGGCACAATCTACCGTGTTTCTTCGCTTCTTTTCCGATCTGGGGCATGAAAAACCAAGATTGAGATTTGAACTATGAGTCTCCTGCATGGCGACATAATGTGCGTCACCGTCAGGCCAACAGGCCAGCCCTGAACGGGCGGTTTTATTACTGTTGTATCTGTGTTGCATGGTAAACACTCCTCATCTCCTCCTGTAGTCCTGCCTCATATTCACTTTACCCTAAGATTGAAAAGTAAAACAACCCCCCCCCCCCCCCCCCCCCTCCCCGCCATTAGAAGAAGATTAACATTCTGACAGTTGTGATCGCCTGGAGTACTTTTAGATTATTAGATTTTCTTCCCTTGCGGGTGTGTGTTTGTATGTGCACATGTATGAGATAGGCACGTACCTCTTCTGTATGGACAGCACTGAGGTACCTATGGGAGAGCAAATGTTAATTTCATGCTTCTAGTGAAAACATTTCAAAACAAAGATCTTTATTGGGTGGACTTCTATTTGATGTGAATGTTCAATCACTTAAAACGTTTAAAAAGTTCTAGGTAATTTGCCAAGCTTTTTGACTGCTCACCAGTGCCCTCTAAAAATACTGGTTTCTCTTCCTGTTTGTGTAATAAGACATTGCTATTTGTAGTTGCATTATTAGTAGTTATTTCTTAGTCCACTGAATGTTCCCATGTACCTTGTTTATGCCAAATTACTTGTCATATTTTACGTTGGGACCAAGTGGTTTGCCCATCGCAAACCAAAATTTATGACCTGCCGATGCCTCTTAGAAAAGTGAACATACTATGAAAACAGTTCTTTTGGAAAAAAAGAAAAATAAATGTTCTCCCCTAATTGTGTTCCTGTCCAAAGTATTAACATGTAGAGGGAGCTGTATTCCTTTATACAAATTTCATGGCTCCCACTGCCCTTCTTCCTTCTGAAAACATTTGTATTTTACTAATATAGTTTGTTAATTTAGAAATCAATCCTGATGAAAGGAGGAAAAAAGCAGATGGACTTGAAAAAGATCCAAACTCCTGTTCTCTATATGAAGTCTTATAATAAACTTTTTTATGAACCAGAGTTGTACCTTTTAATATGTAGTCAGCTCTCATTTCTTTGGGGCTCAGTCTTGGGACTTATCCGTCCTTTGCGGTCTCTTTAACACCACCTGTCTTTGGCGGCAGTCCCTGCCCTAGACAGCACACAGAGGTGGCAGGAGAAAGGCCAGGTATGTTACTGTCATCCTCCCTGTTGCTCCCACTTCTCTGGACGAGGGACCACAGCAGCAGGCGCCCTCTTACTCGGGCATCGTTGGGCCAGTTCATTCTCTTTAAATTAGACTTCTAAGGACAGGAAGTTTTCTGTCACACCAAATTAAAGTTGTCAGCAGTTTTGAGTATCAATATTATGTTACCCCCATAATATGCTCTTTTAATCAGTGATCCCAATTTTTGCCGTCGACTTCAGTTTTATTTACTGTATGTTCTCAGAGTGACAACATTTGTCATTTTGGCAACAAATCCAATTCTCTCTCCTTCAAGACATTATCCTCCCACCCGTCCTCCCCTCTGGCTCTCCTCTGCGGTCTGCGCCTATCTGCTGCCTCCCACCTCCTACTCAGCTTTCCTGGTCCTTCATGTGTCTCTGCTTAGCTCTGCTGGGTGTTTGTCTTGCCCCTCTCATTCAGTTTAAAAAATTCCACCATAAAGCAAGGGCCTTTCCCCCCTTCCTTTCTCTTCCTGCAGTGTTTGCAAACATTAGATGCTCACTCTGTAAATTTGATGATTGAATAGACTGTATTTCAGTTTCCCCATATTATTAATAGAGTGAGCCAGAGATTTTTCTTTTTAGACAAATTTCACATGCTCTGAAAACCTGCAAAGGTGATCATTTTTTCACCTGGAAGCCCTAGGTCCAATCTGTTAATTTTCTGAGAATGTCAGAATGAAAATAATGGGGTTATCCCATACTTGAGAGTATTGTTCTTTTCAGGATGTTGTAGTTATTTTAGTAAGTGACCAACCAAATTGTGATCTGAGTTAAAATAAAGCTGAAAAAGTTGTGAGTTTATGCTTCCTTCTCGTTAATAAGAGTTAAGCTCTGTATCACCTAGATTTCTCTTGTCCTAACATGGGTATTCAAAAACAGACATCTGTGGTATATGTATGGAATGGCACACCCCTTTTTTACCTGTTATTGGAAACTAGAGAAGTGATTGTTGGGCAACCCTTTATCATTATGTTGTGTTTAATTTGATGAAGATTCTGTTTCGAAGCCATTTTTCACGTGTTATGTTTTCAGCCACTAACTGCCATCACCCACTGGGGTCCTTTGTTATCTTCCATGGCTAATAGGGATAATCCAGGTAACTTTTCAGAGATGAGCAGTGAACAGGAAGCTTTCCTGCCTTTGGCTTTTGACAGCCCTTCCTTAATATTTAAGAACAGCTTTCCCATAAATTTAGTCTTTTGAAAAGAAGACAGCATCTGTAATGAACTTCTCTGTAAGGCAGTTTCAGTGGAATCTTAAATGTTGTTATCAGGGTTGGTGAGAGACGGAAGCATTTTTGTTTTTATTAAACAGAGCGTTATTTACAAAGAGCCATTGTTGAGAATTAGATTCCACACCGTATAAATATCCATTAACCATTCTAAATAAAGGAAACTCTGGTGTTGCTATGTGTGAGATCCTCTCCTGGGGGCTTTTTTCCATAGCAATTAAAGGTGTGCTGTTTGTCAGTAGCCATTTTTTGCAGTGATTTAAAGACCAAAGTTGTTTTCCAGCTGTGTTACCGTTAAAGGTTTTCTTTTTATATGTATTAAATCAATTTATCACTGTTTGAAGCTTTGAATATCTGCAATCTTTGCCAAGATACTTTTTTATTTAAAAAACATAACTTTGTAAATATTACCCTGTAATATTATATATACTTAATAAAACATTTTAAGCTATTTTTGTTGGGCTTATTTCTATTGCTGCCTCAGCAGGCCACAAGTGCATTACTGAGAACTTTTAGTTTATCAGTGTATTTTCAGGTCCATATCCTATGTACCAATGCAAATGATGACTTAAAATATTAATTTATAAGTCCTTTTTTTAAAAGTATAACAATATCCAATATGTAAATGTTTGACCAGAGCAGAGTTTTAATTGAAAGTTCCAAGCAAGTCCAATGCGTTAGTTTTCCCCATGGTAGAGTGAATATTTCACTTTCCTAATCCTGGGTATACATACTCCAGACTAGCAGAGGACCTCAGCAAGCCAACTTACCTGCCCCTGAGTCTAACCTTATCTGTAGAATCAGATCAGCCTCTTTAAGACTGAAATGCAAATTGAAATGGTTCTCCATGTTAATTGGTTATCAGCTAGGTCTAGTTTGATTGCAAGTGAAAGTAAAACTAAATCTAAGAAAAGTGGGATTTATTGGCTCATATAACTGACAATTCACATGTCCAGCTAGAGAGGGCCTCCCAGCAGTGTCCTCAGGATCAGAGTCTCCAGCTCTCAGCTTCAGTCTCCTTCCTGTTGCCTTCTTCAGAGCATGTGTGTGATGGCAGAATGGCTGACTGCAATCCAGTACCCACCTTCTCCTGAGTTCAGGGAGGGGAGAGGGGAGAAAAGAGTGTCTCTCCCTTTCTGAATAGTCCCATCCACCCAAGGTTGCAGCTCGGAGCTCTGCCTGGCCCATGGGCATCTCGATCACTGGGGCCCAGCATCTCTGACACCCAGGTTGGGCCAGCCTGAAACTCACGTCTGTCTGGCCTGGAGGGAATGGAGCTGTGGACTCCATCCGGGGTAGGGGGGGTGGACAGCACGGGAGTTAAATGAAGCAAAATCGGGATTGTAACCAAACTGGATGGCATTAGATTTTAGGCCTGTTCCTTGCAGAAATTTGCTGTGATTCTGCATTGTATGTGTGACTGTAAACCATTTGAACGGAAAGTAATATTTGGCTGTGAAGTACCATCTCATTCCTTACCTCATAGGCAATTTAATTTTCCTGCATTTATGAGGACTTTTTTCACTCAGCGGGAGTAACTAATGGAGTTCAGAAAGCGTCTATAATCGCCTACCTCCAGCACAGAAAGCGGTTCTGTGTAGCCAGAGCAAACTCCCACGGAGGTGTAGGCTGCCAGATGCAACTGGATTTCGTTTTTGTGTGGCAACCCTTCCAGCTCAAGACCTCAAGTCTGACAGCTTTAGAAAACAGTGTATAATGGTAACACCATCCATGGAGGACGTGATTTCACCAGTAGCTCAGAGATCTCCACACAATTGACAGAGGTGGGTGTCAGAAGTGAGACTGCTGGGGATCCACCCCTGGTGTTTATTTTGAGTATTTAAGTTTCATGCTCAAGTACCCATCCATCAAATCAGAGGGAAATGAAGTATTTAAGTTATGGATAATTGGATTGATTATTTAATGCCAAAGACAGCACTGGAGACTGCATAGAAGTGATCGTGGATTAAATGATTAGAACTCCACTTATTCAGCATTTATTTATTTAGTCATTTGGCGATAAGATAGCAGATTTTCAACTCTGTTCAGTCAGTTGTGGAAGACCAGGTATGTATTCCCAATTTGGAGGATGAGAAATGTTTGGTAAAGAGTCCGGTTTGGAGAGAAATGATTTATATGTCGGAAAACCCATCCGATGTCAATCTGGAGGCAAGATAGCAGGCAAATCTGGCGGATTCACGAACCTGCTGCTGATTCTCCCTTACAGACGTTGCAACAGCGTGCACGGTACTGGGCGCCCAGATCCCCCTCTTAAAATGACCTTATTTAATCATAGACTTGTCTTCCAAAAAAAGAACCACTCTCCTTGGCTTCCTAATCTTTGAATTGCCTGCTAAATTCTTCAAGGTCAAACTGACAACGTAGAACCTGGTGGACTTCCATTCTAAACAAATGTATTTTCAGAGTTAAAGCGTATTTGTTTAAAATGTGGATTATATCTTCCATGGATATACTCTCTGCGGATCAATTTCTTAAACAAATGATAATTACGCGTTTTAAGCCAGTCCCTAAAGGCCTCCTGAGTCATTTTTATTTAAAAAGTGTTTGTTTTGGGGGTGCTGCGGCTAAGTTGCATTCTGGGTGAAGTTTTTGTGTGCATAGCAGTCACTGTGTAAATTATGTGGGGTAGTTTTTCTCTCATGCACTCGTACTGAGGGCACCCAGAAGGCACTGACACCTTTGCCGTCCCCACCGCCGCATCTCTCTCCGGCCGTAGCAGTAGCCGGCCGCCGCCTCCGCGGAAGCTCCCTGCTGCGATGCCTTACCCGCCTCCCAGGTAAGTCGTTCAGGAGTGCGGCTCACTCTCCAGGGAGTCTCCACCCCCTGCTCCACCAGACATTGTTAGAACGGAATGTTCATAAATCTCTTTGCAAGTTAGAGGATGCAAATACGGTTACCCCAAGAAACGTTTCTTTATTGCAATGTTAGCAGTCAGTTAATTCTTGCAGTTGAATTGATAGGCATATATATCGGGTTTTTTTTTAAGTTTTCTTATCCTTGATTCAATAGAACTCATGCCTCCTCATATCTTTAACCAAATGCCTAACTATCCCCTGGGGTTGTTGCTCAACAACTATCACTGAGTGGAACGGAAAATACTACTCTGGGTCCTGTGCAGGGATGTATTTGAAAGCATCAACAAGTATCAGTTGTTCTCACTCCCATTCAAGGGAAGTTGTTAAAAAATATTATTGACTCTTTATTCTTTAAGCTGATTGACAGACGGTGGTTTATTTATTAATGGCCTTAAAACCATTGTGCTTGAAATTACACAAAACATTTTTTTCAACTTTTTCAAAAGTAACAAGTTTGGTAAAAATTAAACACTCATATTATTTTATGCCTCTGAAAAAGTCTTTGATGCAATCTCCCAGAAAACATTTGTTTGAAATGTGTGGCTGGAATATTTACCAAATCTCGTCCTTGGGCCTTCTGGCTGGGATCGTTTACTTTACTGTGTGAATAGACTAGACTTAGTCAAGAGAGACCAGCACTTTGTCTCCCTCCTCAAAGGCCCCAGGGATTCTCCAAAGGAGTCATCATATAAAGTGATAAGACGGCCTCGGAACAGGTTTTTCCTGAGTGGCTGGGTCCCCCAGAGGCCACTAAGTGGCTTTAGCACACATTAATGAGGCCCATGATCCCCCGGCCTGAGCCAGCTTCCCATTTGTGTGGCTTTTCCTGCTCCTCCAAGGATTTGGAGTGCCCCATTTGGGTCAGCTGCTTTCTATGATCACAGCCACTCAAGCGCGGTTGCAAATCAGCGTGGGAGGGAAGGAGAGCAGTGCAGTGTTGGGTAAACAGCAAGGCCTGAGGCCTGGCTCAAAGCGACCTCGCGCAAGGCCAAGATTCGTTTGTTCATATAAAAAGCAGTTTCATATTTTTCCCCCTGAAGAGCAAAGCCGCCACCATAATTTTCACATATATGTAGAGAATTTATGTTTAAGACATTCCAATAGCCTGGATGCTATCCAAGTGAGCCTCTCAAAGACACAGGTGCTGATGGAAATGACATTTGATGAAGCTCCCTTCTCTGGTCCTCCTGGGGATCTTTGGTCTTCAAATTGGAGATAAAAATAAGATTTGATCTCTCAAGGTGTGGAGAGAGATGGTAGTGTGTGTTCTTCAAAAGACTCAAATAGATAATAGATTTTTTTTTAAGCTGTGGCTGAGTGTAACTTATAGCTTCAAAGGGCTTTTTTTTTTTAAATGAAATCTTTACAAGCAATAGTAAAGAAATCTAGAACCCCCTGGAGTGGTGGTTAGAGTCCTGTCAGGGATTGAGATCTAATTATTAGCCTGAAAGTAAAGAAGAGAGAGCCAGCCTAGTGTCAGCCGGGAAAACAATAATAGCTCGTGGAGTTCAGCAGCCCAGTCATTAGTGCCTTAAAGGAGAATTCAGCAAATTTATTCTTATCCTGGAAAGAAGGCCACAGAGGTTTCAGTGTTTTCTGACAATAGTTCCTTTTTCTTTGGAGTAGAGATGCTAGATTTCATCTCTTCCTATCACCAGGTAAACCTTAGAGCTGGCTCCCCACGCAGGTGCTCAAAGGAGAGGCAGTATGCAGTCAGAGGGCCCCACACCCTGCGCTTCATCAGCTGTGTGGTCCTGAGCAAGCAACCTAACCTCTTCGGGCCCTCCAGGTCTCCTTTTACACGTGAAGATGAAATAAAATAATGCATGTGAAGTGTTTAGCACAGTACCTGGCCCATGGTAGGTGCTCAGGAACTGTCAACTATTTCTCTCTTTCTCCTTCTTATTAAACTTTGGCTGGGGAGGAAAACAACTTAGCATGATAGTCTAGAGGAAGCATAACATATCATGGAATTTATACTTCCCTATGTTGGGTTGCTGCCAGAGAAGCCAATCAAACGTAAACTGACTCCACATACAAAGTAATAGGACAAGCACTGCTACCCTGCAGCCCTGACCCATCCAAACGCGATGTTCTTGTTAGGCATACCCTCTGGTTCCCTCCGGGCTTCCCAGGTGGCGCTAGTGGTGAAGAACTCGCCCGCCAATGCAGGAGACGTAAGAACCAGTTTCGATTCCTGGGTTGGGAAGATCCCCTGGAGGAGGAGCGTGGCAACCATCCCAGTACACTTGCCTGGAGAATCCCATGGACAGAGGAGCCTGGAGGGGCACAGTCCACGGGGCTGTGAAGAGTCGAGTACAACTGAAGCGACTTAGCACGCACGCACGCATGCCAGATCCTTCAGCGAAACCAGAGGATGGCAAGTGGGAAAGAGAAAGGCTTTGGAAGATCTGATTCGCCCTTTCCTGGAATGGAGACAGGAACTTGTCCTCATAAACACATGGAGGGTCTTTAGAACCCACTTTGCCTGCCAGCAATACTCAACTCACCCATTTATTTATTCATATCAGAGGCTGATGCTCAAGACTCTGAACCTGTGTTAAGAGCAGGACCC